CTTGAGGGTTGAGGTGTAGGTGTTCAGGGGTTTGGGTTTAGAGTTAGGGTTTAGGGTCTAGGGTCTAGGGTTTAGGGTTTAGGGTTTAGGGTCTAGGGTTTAGGGTTTAGGGTTTGGGGTTCAGGGTTTAGGGTGTTGGAGCCACAAAAGCACCCAAGAGAAGCGTGTTGCGAAGATGATCCCCTGGTAGTTTGGTTCTCTCCTAATTACGTACTTCGGGGTCCCTCTAACGTAGTTGTCTCTCTTCGGAATCGGATGGCTTTTGCAGGGTGTTTCTGGATCCTTGAAGTTCTTAAACCCTAAACCCTAAACCCTAAACCCTAAACCCTAAACCCTAAACCCTCTAAACCGGATACGTTGGCATTTTTTGAATACATTGAGAAGCTGTTTTTCATTGGAATGGGGATGTAAGGATATATGCATCGTAGCCCTAAGCAGGACATTTGCATCGTAACCCAAGATCTGGATTTCCCTCACTTTGAGAATTCGGTGGAGCTAAAGATGCTCGGCACGAACATCGCATTTGAAGGCTGCTTCTTGGTCAAAGCTTAGGGGGCACCTGTGTACATTGTTGTACAGGGGTTTTAGGTTTGCGAAATGTTCTATATGGGTTCGTAAGAGGTTCAGTGGTTTACTAGCTTTGCGGATCCTTTTTTGCCATGTTGGCTTCTTAACAGGATCCCTTTCTGCCTTCCTTCCTCAGAGGGACTTAGGCTTTATCAACTATATACAAGTCGTGGTCTCTATGCTCCTCGATCTGAACTGCTTGTACACCATGGGCTGGTATACTCCCCTGGATTATGGGCAGTATGTCTACAGCAACTCGGATCACATCTGTTCCCTCGGCGGAGAGAATGTGAATGCCACGATCGAGCGCTGGACCTCCTCTGGCGAGGACTATCGGAAATCCTGGTATGACTGTGGCGTCCCGGTCTAAAGGGTACTGCAGGGTTCAAAAGTAGGATCCCCGAAAAGGGTACTACAGGGGCCCAAAGCAGGATCTGTTTAGGGCTTCTTCCCGAGTTTTGGATTTCTGGGCCTTCTCGGCTCCTGCGGGCTTAGGAGCTTGTCATACCAGTAGGCTGGGAGGCGTACTCGGAATATTTCAAAGTTACCGGAGTATTCAGCAGGAACGGCAGAAAGCAGTATCAAGCAAGCAGCCGCAATACTCACAGCAAGGATAGGCAGGATCGCAAGTGCTGTTTTCTAGGACTTCGAGAAACCATAACTCTGACTCCCAAGGCGTTGCGCCGTCAGCATGCCAGAAGACGCCGTTTCCACAACCTGATAGTTCTACCTGCGAAGCGCCTGACCATCCGCTGCAATCTCGGTATTATGCCGACGTGATGCTTGGATGTGTCGGGTTAAGCGTTGAGTTGATTTCCCGGAAGGGTGGCGTTTTTCTGTTTCGTGAGGTTGATTCCTAGGTAAGGGGCTGTTTCTTGGGTTGCGTGAGGTTGCGCGTCTTAACAAAACCTAATTTCTTTCCAACCATGCGACAGGGCTCTCGGGAGCCGTGCGTCGTAGCATGGCGCTGCGGATGGAGGGATGGGTGAATGAAGGATTGGGGTTTGGGGTTTAGGGTCTAGGGTTTAGGGATGTATGAGCTGATGAAGGATGCCGCGCACTCGTTCTCTAAAGGATTGGTTTACATAAGAACTCGTTTTGAGCGCGAAGTTTTGCGACTTTCTTGACGGACTGCATAAGCTTCATGCTCCACATGCTGAGTGCTAGTCAGTAGTACACCTGCAGTCCCCCCTAAACCCTAAACCCTAAACCCTAAACCCTCAACCCCAAACCCTAAACCCTAAACCCAGACCCTATAGACGCTTAGGAACTTGAACCCTGATGGGAGCCCGTTACGGGAGCCCTTAAGCCCTTATTGAAACCCTTCTGCCCCTAAACCCAGGAAGAGCCGTTCGGCTTTGGCAGTGCTTCCTTTTGCCCTGGGTCTCTGCCTGCTTTGCAGCCTCTTCCGCTTGGCAGGCCTGACTTTAGGGTCTTGAGGGTGGGTCCTTTAAAGGGATCTATTGGGGTTCTTTAGATGGATCTCTAGGGGTAGGGTTTAGGGTTTAGGGTTTTGGTTTCGTACGGGCTGTTTGTTCTTTTTCGCAAGTTTTTTTTTTTTAGGGATTTGTACAGGGCTTTTGTGCGGGTATTTGACAACGGCTTCATGAGGGTTTTGTGACGGTGTGATTGGCTGTAGAGGAGCTGTGGTAGGCAAGATTCAAGATTTTGAACTTTCATTCTGGTCAACCCTTGACTGTCCGCAACCGGAGCGCCTAAGCGACTGTGAGTGTTCGGGTATTCAGGCGTCGTGCCTTACAGGGTTTCGCGGTTTCAGCTTCGGTGGCTCGGCATTTTTGGGGCGGCAGCATGAAATGCCTCTGAAGAATCATTCGCCTAGTCCTGCGGCTGAAGTGCAAGCGTTTGGGTTGAGGATTGTTGGGAGTACGGGTGACGAACGGAAGGACCCTGAGTATGAAGCCGCTGGAACATGTAGTCATATTGTCCGCTCCATCTAAATCTAGTTCGAGCTGCTATAGATGCAGGCATCATTCAGGCCCCACTATTCGGACATTGCTCAGATAACTGTTAACCCTAAGCCCTAAAGTTGAGGGCCTAGGCTTTAGGGTTTGGGATTGCCTAAACACGAAAGCCTAAACCCGTATGAGAACCCCAAACACCGAGACCCAAGGAATGGAGGTTCGGGGTTTGCTAAAGGGGCCGGAATAGTTAGTCAGTCATGCTCTTCGTTGCGATTCCCCATTTCGTAAATGTATAAATGTACTACAACATACCCCGAAACCCAATTATTCTGGTCGCTAGGGGCCTTATGTTGGGGGTTTGAGGGTCTATGGATTTTGGATTTAGGGGTTTTGTCTAATCAAGGAATTCAGGAAATTCATGCGAGTTCTCGGACGGTTTAGGGTTTTGGGTTTCCCGGATTCAGGATTTCGGGGCGTAGGTGTTCACTGTGATCCACCCTAGAAGGGGGAACCAGCCTGTTCTTCTTAACTTAATGCACGCTGGCCCTTTATGAAGGGGGAGCCAAACCCTTTGTACTGCGCCGGTCCGAAAGTTCGTCGCACTCTATGTTGTGCACTTACAAAAAATCTGTCCCAAACGCCTTTTCCCGCTAGACTCCTCCAGAAGTCCTCCACCCGGAACAATTATAGTATTATAATGTCATTCGGGTG